GATGGCGCTTAACTTGTACAATCCGAGACTCATTTCATTCCTATTTGATTTTTTTTTCACCTGTAATTGTTTCTTGTAGTAGCGTTAATGCTCTGTCACAAAAGCAGCTAATTTACCAATTTTCTCATTTTTCTTAAACAAGTAAAAGTGAGCAATACAAGAAAAACATTTCAAACTCGGCGGGAAAACCTTAAATTGACCATATTTCTAGGCTTTCAAGCGTTGAGTTTGCGTGTATACGAGCGTAACTGATGAACAAGCGACAAATTTTTCCAATTATACGAGTTTAGAGAGAATAGTCACTAGTTTTCAAATAAATTCAATAAAGCTATGATTGCTAGATGATCGCAGATAATGAATCAGCACTGTACACTGATAAAAATTGAATCAGAAAAAACTCGTAGTGACCAAATATTGGTGACAATTGAGTTTTATTGTACTAGGTTGTTTTCTAGAGTAAATGTAGGCAAACAAAATCATATCAAGATTCTTGTCTAATTCAAATATTGCTTCAGTTAAACAGACTTTAACAGAATGCGATTACATTATCTTCTCTATGTGATATAATTGATGTAATTATTGTTCCGACTTTCGATACGAAAGTAACGGAATATTTGTGCTTGGGGTGGGTTTTTTTTTCTTCAGACAATTTTCGACTTTTTAACTAGCCATTTTTGACGGAGTTTTCTTACATCATTCGAAAGCTATTGTTGTCCTGAGCTTAAATTTGAAAAAATATTTCACCTGTGATCATTTTTTGTAAAGTTATGAGGGTTTAAAGATTGCCATTTTGGCCAAATTGGGACAATTAACGCGCGATATATTTCGCGCTAATAACGCGTAAGCGGAGAGTTAACACGTCTTAGAATTCGTTCCAAGTTTGTTGAGAGAAGCTGATTTACCATAATTGATTTCTTAAAAGAAGCAAAATCTATCCTTTGTTCTTTATATGGCGAGTGGGGTTTTGGAGATTTTTTTGTAAAAATCATCTCCCACACGCCATATAAAGTACAAAGAGATAAATTTTGCTTCTAGTAGCCAATCAATTATGGCAAATAAGCTTCCTTCAACCAATTTGAAACAATATCTAAGATTGATTAAATCTCCGCTTACGCGTTAATGGCGCGAAATACATCGCGCGTTAATTGCCCCAAGTTGGCCAAAATGCCAATCTTTAAACCGCCATAACTTGACAAAAAATGTTCACAAGTGAAATTTTTTTTCAAGTCAAGGCTCAGGACAACAATATCTTTTGAAGGGTATAAAAATTTTCGTCTAAAATGGTCAGTTAAAAAGTCGAAACTTGTCTGAAGAAAAAAAACCCACCCCGAGCACAAAAATTCCGTTACTTTCGTATCGGAAGTCTTAACAAAAAAACCTTGGAACTTTGAAATTTCCCTGAACATTCAGAAAATGGACAGAATATTATTGTTCCGCTTTTTGTAATGAAAGTAACGGAATATTTGTGTTCGGGGTTGGTTTTTTTTTCTTCAGACAAAATTCGACTTTTTAACTAGCCATTTTTGACGAAGTTTTTTTATTATCAATCGTAACCTATTGTTGTCTTAAGCTTATATTTGAAAACATTTTTCACTTGTGATCATTTTTCGTAAAGATATGGGGGTTTAAATATTGCCATTTTGGCCAATTTGAAACAATGAACTCGCGATATATTTCGCGCTATTAACGCGTGAAGCGGAGAGTTAATACGTCTTAGAAATCGTTCCAAATTTGTTGAAAGAAGCTTATTTGCCATAATTGATTTATTATAAGGAACAAAATCTATGCTTTTGTACTTTATATGGCGAGTGGCGGAATTATTTTCACAAAAAAATCTCAAATTTTTGTTCAAAATTTTTTTCATTTTATTTTTGTTTTTTTTTACATTCAATTTTTTCACGTTATTACTGCTCCATAAACCTTGAAAGGCAGTCGGAACATTCAGAGCTTCGCCCTGATACGAGCAGTCTTGTTTGATTTTAGTTCTTAATCCTTTTTCTAGCTCGGAGGCGGAATAAGAGTAAAATCACACCGCTTTCTTTCTCTTTCAGCGTGCAGGTCTTTTTCCTCAGAAGAATCCTGGAAAGTAAAGCTGTGAATAGTTGAAGGCTAAATCAAAGACTCAGTTGGTTTAAACTCAGTGGCATTGATCGACAACAATCTTTGAACAAGGAAACTCAAACTGAGATCACTGTCTCTTAAAGAGACATATTGTTATCGTCACCTTTAAGAAATTTGCTACTAAGAACATGTGGTCATACATTATGTAGTGGTCATACATTATGTTTGTCAATATCTCAATTTTTCAACTCTATTATGAAGATCATACTTATTGATTCGTAAATTAACTTCTGAAGTTACAGCATATTCCGCTTTGATATCGCTGTAACTAGACTAGAGTAATGAATAAAAAACATGAATACAAATCAATGAAATTGCAAGACTGCCAGCAAAAAGTTTAGCTGGCCTCCATTTAAGTATACTTTGGCAAGAAATTGAGGCTTGTGTTTAAAATTGAAGGGCGCTCAAGCCAATATTTTTCAGCATATTTGGTTTTAATTAACATGATATGAATCAAATAGCACGCAATTCATACAAATAAGTCCATGGCAACTATAAAAAACGAGACTTTTTAAATAATAAACATTTAAACAAGACTGTTCATCTCAGGGCGAAGCCTTGAATGTTCCGGCTGCCTTTCAAGGTATATGAAGCAGTAATAACATGAAAAAATCAAATGTAAAAAAAAAGAAAATAAAATGAAAAAAAATGTTGTAGAAAAATATGAGATTTTTTTGTGAAAATCATCTCCCACACGCCATATAAAGTACAAAGTGATAAATTTTGCTTCTAGTAACCAATCAACTATGCAAATAAGCTTCCTTCAACCAATTTGAAACGATTTCTAAGACTGATTAAATCTCCGCTTACGCGTTAATAGCGCGAAATATATCGCGCGTTAATTGCCCTAAGTTGGCCAAAATGCCAATCTTTAAATTGCCATAACTTGACGAAAAAGAATCACAGGTGAAATATCTTTTCAAGTTAAAGCTCAAGACAACAATATCTTTTGAATGGTATAAAAAAATCCGTCAAAAATGGTCAGTTAAAAAGTCGAAATTTGTCTGAAGAAAAAAAAACCCACCCCGAGCACAAATATTCCGTTACTTTCGTAGCCAAAAATGGACAGAATATTATTGTTCCGACTTTTGTAATGAAAGTAACGGAATTTTTGTGATCGGGGTGGGTTTTTTTTCTTCAGACAAAATTCGACTTTTTAACCAGATATTTTTGACGGAGTTTTTTCTATATCAATCGAAATCTCTTGTTGTCTTGAGCTTAAATTCGAAAAGATGTTTTACTTGTGATCATTTTTTGTAAAGATATGGGGGTTTAAAGATTGCCTTTTTGGCCGATTTGGGACAATTAACGCGCGATATATTTCGCGCTATTAACGCGTAAGCAAGATTTAATCCGTCTTAGAAATAGTTCCAAATTGGTTCAAGGAAGCTTATATGCCAAAATTGATTTGTTAATAGGAATAAAATCTATCACTTTGTACTTAATATGGCATGTGGGGGATTTTTTCACAAAAAAATTCAAATTTTTTTTTCAATTTTTTAATTTTGTTTCATAACATTTAAATTTTTCATGTTATTACTGCTCCATAGACCTTAAAAGGCAGTCGGAATATTCAGGGCTTCACCCTGATCCGAGCAGTCTGGTTAGCTTTTGCGATAGAGAAAAAAGAAGCGAAATTCACTTCATATGTACAATTTTTTTTCTGCGGGCGTTTGTCAAAACTCAATTAGAAGTTCAAACTCCATGTGAAGTAGCGGATATTCCGTTGTCACCTAGTTGTCACAGACTGATGTCTTTCTATTCACAAAAAGTTCCCTAGGCAGAATTTATCGGCAGAAAACGATTGACCCTGTTTTTTCTCAAACCAGGTCAAAGTCATTAGCGAAAAATCTGAAAATAAACGTCGATTATCCAATTTTGTTGGGCTCGTTGCTAAAATATTCAAGACTTTCAGATATATTTTCAAAATGAAGATCTAAAAGCAGCTTATTAAAAAAACATGAGACAAAACAAAAATAAAAACTGCATTTACATAGACAAAAAAAGTTGGTGATACTTTAGCTATAAAATTTGCATTTTTGTAGGGAAAATTGAGTTTGTAGTTCTGCAGTAATTGCTCTCGTCCTTTCTAATTCTTATCATCATCTATCAAATGTGCCTATCAGAGGTGTCCACGCATAAATAAATTTAGGTCCAAAATCACTTTGTTCTCTTTCAGGCCCTGTCATTTTTCTGTCACTTCAACCTGCAGATTTGCATATTTTTAAAAATAAAAGAAACCAGTAGATTAGTTAGTGGCCGATAGGTAGAACAAAGCACAAAGCTTTGCTTGGTGTTGGATAAAGAGATAAGAAGAAGAGTTTCGAAGCATACTTTGAGGGACCATTTTAAGTAATCCAGAGGCACCGCCAAATCAACCAACATTAGGAAAAGGGAGTGAACTTATTAGTGTAGCAAATAAAACTCCGAGAAGAGAAAAATAAAAGAAATTAGAAAAGAGTAAAAGGTCATCATAACTTCGGTCCAAATCTCATCCCCCTATTTTAGTCGGATATTAAATTTGCAATGAAATAATGATCATTTAATACTTCCTTATTAATGTAGTTCAAACTCCTCAAGGCTACACTTTTTGGCAGGGTTCAAGAAATATTATAACTATGTTTGTTGTAAAACTTCTAACTTAATTTTGCTCAGCTTTTTCAGATCTGTTCAGATCTATTAGGAAATGTTGAAAAAATTCTTATAAACACATCGTACTAACGTACCCTTTTACACCGGATTTATGATAGTACGATTTATGATTTATGATAAACTGTATTACCGTAGCCAAATTAAGAAAAGCTGAAAATTCGCTACACGGGCTGGCCTCGAACCGCTAACTTCTGTAATTGACTTTAATGACTGTCTGCTTTGTTTAGATTGAAGCGCAAGTACCTGGTGTACATAGTGGAGACGTTTGTGCCGAGTGCACTAATCACAGCGTTGAGTTGGATTACTTTCTGGATCAGTCGGACGGCGACGCCTGCCAGAGCCAGTGTCGGCATCACTACAGTATTGACTATGCTCACTCTGGGCTCAGGGGCCAGCAACCGATACGACAAACATATCAGCGGATCCATAAGGTACACGCGCATATACCATCTGTTTTGTCTAAGCCATTTTGAAAACGATAAAATAATCAAAAGGGAAAGGCATTAAAAAGAGCTGTCCAGCTTTTGAAACAGAAACAGGCGCGGATCTAGGAATTTTTTGAAGGGGGGGCAGATTTTCAAAAAAAAATTTGAAATTTTCCCCGGCCTTTTTTTAGGTCGACCGACTTGATTTTCTGAGCTCTCCCAAATCACTAAAAAGACATCTTATTGACCAAATTTTCTGCGCCACAAGCAATCTTTTCAAAAAACAGGCTAAAAATGGCGTTTTTATGCACTTTTTGGAAAATTTCGACCAAAAATCAAAAAATCGCTTTTTTTGGCGAGCGCTTCCCTTCTCAAAGTTAGAATACATTGGCGCCAAAGGCGTCTTTAGAAAAATTTAAAGGTCAATCAGCCAAAATTGAATATCTCAAAATAGTACAAAGGGGACACTTTGGGTCGGGAGGGGGTCGAATCCCCCCTAAATCCGCTACTGAACAGAAATGATTTCAAAATTTGAGACAACAGAAAAATGGGAGACTGTTCATCATCAAGGTATGAATCTAAAATTGAAAAGAAGAATTTGACAAGAGCAAAATCAAAAATTTAACATTGATTTTTTAGCCCGAAATTTGATTTAATTTATCAAATTAGAAAATCAAAACCAATGTTATTACAATCGATTCGAGTGAAATCTTTCACTGTTTTTTTTTCATTTTTCTGGTGAGCTGTTTTATAGTTTTTCAGAATCAGTGTAAATATCCTAAAATCTATTTTCAGTCAGTTTTCCTCAAATATCAGCAAAAAGTGAACGACAAAGAAACCTAATTATTCCATGTATGGAAGTTGCATGACTAGCATCAGTGGCGTGCCAAGATATTTCTCTAAGGGGCTGTTTTTTGAGAAAAAAAATCCAAATTTTGTCAAATTTTTTTCTAAGTTGACCGGTTTGAGTATTTGAACGCCCCTAGAACCCTATCAAGAACCTGTTTATCTTAGGCTAATTTTAAAAAAACTGGCCAAGTATGACATTTTATAGCCTTTTTTTTTCGGCCAGCGCTCCGATCTCAATTTAAGTGAATACCAGCGCCGAAGAAGTTTTAGAAATCTTGAGGTTCGCTCACCAAAAATGGTTGCCGTTAAATGGTACCGAAGAAAACACCCTTTGAAAAAATGGCAACCAGAGTTAAGAGAGGGGGACTTACGCAACCTTTTTTCGCAACGTTGAAATAATTCTTCTATAACACTTCACGTAAAGAAACTTAGATATACCTTTTTTATCATTTTTGAGAGACAATAAAATTTTGTTTTCTCTTTTGTCCAAAAACTCCCATCTGATTTGTTGATTTGTCTTAACATCAATTTTTTCTTACATGAAAAACTGCAAAGTTTATGTTAATTCATATCATACTTTAAAATTATGACTTTTTCCAATTTCTAAGTTAGAAAAACAAAAACCAAAAAAGTGCGTCAAACATGAAAAATTTAATGTTTTAATTGTGTATGTTGTGCAATTTAGCTTAAAAGCAAGCAAATTTCATAATATTTTAAGAGCAAGATCTTGTGTGCTCTCGACATTGATGGCTTTAGTTGGCTTTTTTGAACCATAGATTTTTTTGTTTGATTATAAACTTAACGAAATTCAATGTCACAAAAGTCGGAAGGAAACAAAAATGAAGATACCAGGGCAAAATTTTGAGCACTCTGACTCCCTTTTGAGGTATCTGAAATAATTTCTGGAAAAAGTGATAAATTTTTTGAAAACAGTATAGATTTTTGCTAACTTTTGTTTTTCGACAAAGCTCCTTCCTTTCTCCTCGCGCATGTTAAGAGTTCAAATTGATATATTATAATCTAGTATAAGTTACTTAGATAACAAATTTATTCGCATATCAAAACTGGACAAAACCTTAAATGCTTCGACTGTCGCATAACTGGTATTGAATAGTTTTTCGACTGCCTATATCAAATATTAAGTGCTGAAAAATCAGTCGTATACGGAATTAATAAGACCATTCTAGTTTATATTTATCCAATTGGAAGAAATTGCAAGACTGCTCGTATCAGAGTGAAGCCTTGAATGTTCCGACTGCCTTTTAAGGTTTATGGAGCAGTAATAACCTTAACAAATTAAATGTAAAAAAAAATGAAAATTCTTTTTTTCTAAAATTTGAAAATTTTTATGAAAAACATCCCCCCACCGCCAGATAAGGAAACAAAGGATATATTTTTCTCCTTGTAACAAATCAATTATGGCAATAAACTTCTTTCAACCAATTTGGAACAATTTCTAAGACGGATAAAAAAATCTTACACGTTAATAGCGCGAATTATATCGCGCGTTAATTGTCACAAATTGGCCAAAATGGCAATCTTTAAATCCCCATAATTTTACAAAAAAAGATCACAGATTAAATATTTTTGTTCCGACTTTCGATACGAAAGTAACGGAATATTTGTGCTCGGGGTGGGTTTTTTTTTTCTTCAGACAAATTTCGACTTTTTAACTAGCCCTTTTTGACTGAACTTTTTTATATCATTCGAAAGGTATTATTGTCCTGAGCTTAAATTTGAAACGATATTTTACCTGTGATCATTTTTCGTGAAATTATGGGGGTTTAAAGATTGCCATTTTGGCCAATTTGGAACAATTAACGCGCGATATATTTCGCGCTATTAACGCGTAAGCGGAGAGTTAATCCGTCTTAGAAATCGTTCCAAATTGGTTGAAAGAAGCTTTTTTGCCATAATTGGTTTGTTACAAGGAGCAAAATCTATCCTTTTGTACTTTGTATGGCGTGTGGGGGGATGATTTTCATTAAAAAATTTCAATTTTAGAAAAAAAAAATTTTTTTCATTTTTTTTTCTTACAATTAATTTTTTAATGTTATTACTGCTCCATAAACCTTAAAAGGCAGTCGGAACATTCAGGGCTTCGCCCTGGTACGAGCATTCTTGTTTCAAATTTAAGCTCAGGACAACAACACCTTTGAATGATAAAAAAAATTCCGTCAAAAATGGCTTGTTAATAAGTCGAAATTTGTCTGAAGAAAAAACCCACCCCGAGCACAAATATTCCGTTCCTTTTGTATCGAAACTCGGAACAGTTAGTTTCGTATCGAAAGTCGGAACAACAAGAGCGCAAAAATGTGCCACTCATTACTAATTCGCCTGTCGAAGCTATTATAAGTTAAACGATAATTTTTTTGCCGAAGTTAGGGTAGTGAAAGCACACCCGCTTGGGAAACCAAAACAGAATCGATCCTGAATTTGGCCACTTTTTGAAGCATTTGGTTGGAATAAAAGAAAGCAACCCTATCATATGCATTGCTCACTTTCTTCGAAGCCGGAGCAATTAGCCTGTCCAAATTCAATTCGAGTGATTCCTGAGTCAGTTTATTTCGCCGCTTGCGCTACGCGTTAATTAAAAATATAATACTTAAATTGTATTCCAAATTGTTTAAAATGGCAGCTTTTATTCCAAAAACCCATAATTCTTTGAAAAAGGATCTTAGATAGAACATTTTTCGAATTGGAGCTCACTTTGACAATATCTTTTAGATGATAATGAAAATATTCATCAAAAATTTTAGTTAACAGTTCAAAAGGGTTCGTCTACTCGGAGATTATTTAATAAAGCCGACCAAAACTCTTTCAAATGTCAGATTTGATACAAACACAAACATTGTAAGAAGAATGCTTGTGTTTTTTTTAATATTTCTAAAAATAGTCCAAGTGGAGTTTGATTGGCTTAAGGAGCTGTCATTATATGAGAAAGGGAGATCAACGTGAACATATATGGGTGCTTCTTTGTTCGGCCTCTTTTTTGTCTTATCAGTCGCCGCCCTTACTTTCTCTGCTGGATCTAATCCTGGGTTTACTCAAAAACCAGTTTGTTTTTTGACCGATATCCTGGAACCATGCTGTCTAAGTTCGGATTATCCTTTAATCGCCCACTAACAGAGCATGTTGTTTGCAAGATTACTTTCCGACTCAATAGAAGGGTCCAGGTAATGGGAAGGGATGGTCCGTTAAAAACGAATTTGTACCCATTCGAGGAGACTTAATCTCCGTCAATGCAGTTATCGCTTGTCGCCAAGAATCAGTCCCGTATCATTGACCTGTGATTGTAGAAATACCGCGGCGACGTTAGATCAAGTTTCAATTATCGGCTATAATTTCACCCTTTGACTAACCTGAGGGTGGCATATTTAGCCAGACTACTTGCGTACATTCCACCAGGAAAAACAATGTTCCAAAAAAGTCCCGCCCATCTACTCTAAATCACGGCGCGCCAATTAGGAACCGAGCTAGAAGTGAAATTTTATGGTTCTGATTACGGTCCCTTGTTGGGTCTTTGCGACTATTCGGCACCAGAAGTAATCAAAAATTTTAACTGAATGCGAAAAGAAAACAACCCTATAGATGAGATCCCATCGCGTAACTTACTTTCTTGTTCTCGGTCATAAAATTTACAATTTTTTTGGAAATTTATGGCTATGGCAGGCAACTGTATGAACAGAGTCGAAAGCAATCTTTTCAAGTGCACTGAACGTGAAATGTCTTAAATTTGGCGTGAAAACAATCAGAAATCAGCAAGCATTAAGAGTTTGACATTCAAATTTATGAGACCTTAATTCACATTGATAGTTATAACAATAAAATATCCTTGTAAAGTTATTTCGTATTTCAAGATGAAATATCGAATAATAATAAATAATGAAGCCTAGCCGTCGGCGTTTTTCGGTCAAATCTACCAAAACTAACACGACAGTTTGTGGTGGCTGGTGATCGTCTTTGCCACCTCCAGTGTGTTTATCAAATAATAATCACCGCCCTCTCCTTTAGCACAATCTCTGAAATGTTCACTGAGTTAAACCCCTCCTAAAACACGCCATGTATGATATGATATGTGTCTAAATTGGAAGTCAAGAAGAAAACTGTCAACTACTATTGATACTTTTCCCAGAAAACTGAAAATGCGCAACAAA